TACCACGCGTGGAATTACTACGCGTAGAATTACCACCCGTGGAATTACTACGCGCTCCACGCGTCGAATTACCACGCGTCGAATTACCACGCGTCGAATTACCACGCGTCGAATTACCACGCGTCGAATTACCACGCGTCGAATTACCACGCGTCGAATTACCACGCGTCGAATTACCACGCGTCGAATTACCACGCGTGGAATTACCACGCGTCGAATTACCACGCGTTGAATTACCATACGTGGAGATACCACGCGTGGAATTACTACGCGTAGAATCACCATGCGTGGAATTACCGCGCGCTGAATTACCACGCGTGGAATTACCACGCGTAGAATTACCACGCGTCAAATTACTATGCGTTGAATTCCCACACTGTAACAAATCACGCAAGATCAGAAAAAGAGTAGCAGGATTAAAAATGAGTACCTCAATTATTTTTATACAGACTTGTAACAGTTCCAAGTATTCCTCAACATCTCTCGAATCGTGGTTTTGATGTTATCATTCCAGTATTGTTTTTTGAGTCATGTCATTATTCCAGTAATCGTGATTTTTGAGTTACGTGAACATTACAGCAATCGTGATGTCATTATTCTAACAATCGTGATTTTTGTGTTAAGTGAACATTAATGATAATTTTTGAGTTATGTCATCATTCCAACGAACGAGCGTAAGGTGCATATCCTTCAGGAACGTATTATTTTAAATAGAATTTATTTGGGAATTTTCTGAGTCTCTGCGTTTTACATTCTCTATTTTGGTGGTTCGTTAATTCATCGAAGGAATGGAGGTAAGACTAGAGAACGAGCAGTGCTAGAAAACGTGCTACCCACCTCGATGCGACTATCGTGAACAAGTATCTATTAGGTTCTTGTTATGTACATCGTGTGCGTGTGTGTTGCAATGAATTATGATTGAACATAGAAAGGGAGAAATTGTGAATGTGTGGGAGTCTGGTAAGCGTGAACATTAATTTTTTCAATTTGGAGTTCGGGAATGTGCATATTCGGTCGAATTGTCGATTCATTTCTCAAATTGTGTCATTTCTCAAATTCTGTCGACTATGTTTATAGAAATCGAGAATGAAGTGGTAGATTCTCTGTTGGCAAGGACACGAGGGTGGAGTGCAAAGGGTCAATTTGAAAATTCGATAACTTATGAAATTTTGAATATTTGAAGATTTGGAAATTTATGTATTATTAATTTATAGAAATTTCTAAATTCCTCTCATTTTCCTATTACTATAATTCCTATCAGATTTTCATATTTTCAATGTTCCTACGTATTACAATTTTATTATTTCTGAATACAAAAATTTCTAAGTACTGTAACTTTCAAATTCCTTAGGTCCCTAAATTCCTAAATTTCTAAACTTGTTAAATATTAAAATTCTCAGGTCCCAAAATCTCTACATCCCAAATCTCTTAAGTTCCAAACTCCTAAGTTTCTAAATTCTTCAACCACAAATTCCCAAAATTTCTAAATTCTCAAATTCTCCTTCTTAAAATTTTCGCCCTAACATTGACCCAAGTGCACAGATTCGATTACAATTTCTCGAGTACCAAAGAGTACCTAATCATAAGCAACATTACCTATCAAAAAATTAAAAATGGAGTATTCGACAGGTTTACTTAACACGATGCTCCGTCGTTACATTTAATAAATCTATTATTTCTAACTCTAATGAGAACTAGCTGTAAAAACTCGAATGAAAGTGTATCGTTTCTCGATCCGTGTAAATATTATACTTCGCCACATTTCAATTGCGTTGCAACACAGGAACAGTTAAACACGCTCTACTATATCAACTATCTATTTCCAAAACTATTATTAAAAGCAATCGACGTGGATGTTGTTCTACGTAAATATCGCGGATTGGTTACACAACGATCGTTTTGCAGTTTAACATTACTGGCTGATTCACGATCGAGATTCACCATCGTGTAATTTTAGGGTGGTTTGTACGGAATGTTTCAGAAAATGGTTTACAAACTTTTATGAAAACATTGCTTTACAAGTTTTAACGAAAAATTAATAAAATCAGTGCTTTGACAAACGTGTGTTGTATTTAACAAAATTTATTATAGCTTTATTTGTTTATTACAGTGAAAAACTTTTAGATAAATCAGTATGAAAAACATTGAAGTTAATTCATCTTTAGAAATAAAAATTAAAAAATTTTTAAATTAATGAACTTTTAGTGTTCAACAATATTTTTAAAAAATCTGAAATATCTATATATTTCAATTTTACTTTTCCTTCATTAAATTTAGAAGTTTTTCAATTTGACCAAGCAAAAATTAAATATGGCAAAAAATATATTAATGTCATTTTATTAGTAATAAATTTTTATCTGATACTCAAAGTGTCTAACACAAAACTTACAAAGTACGTTTATCAAAACCCTACAAAGACCTAACCTCAAACTTCATAATCCATTTTCTGCAACACCCTCGTGCACAAAGTTCTTAAACAATCGTTCTTAAAAATAATTAATTACATAAAAAAGTACAAAAAAAAGAAACAAAAAGACTTACAAGAGAGAAAGAGACTACAAATCGAAGATAATTTATACTCGATCAGATATAAATTATAGTTGTAGCTAGGGCAATAAGTTAAGTGTCTCTAATAATAAAAGGTCGCTCTAATGGGATCTATTCGAGGCTAACTATACTCTGTATTACGTTCGTCTGCTCAGTGTCCGTAAATTGATCGAAGATGGAAAGTGCAGACGCTTCTAGAGTTTGCTATGCTACAGTACCGTAATGTGTCTCGAGTAAAGGGGTGCCTAAGGGGTGGTGCTTCTTGGCTCGTGACTTGTTGTTCACTACAGTGGTGGTGTTCGTCTAGGCGGTCACTACATATTTTTTTACTTCTAAAAAACAGCCGTTTTACTTTCCATACGGTTGATACTGGTCCTCTAGATTACTCACGTATTGAGCGTGACTCGCAGTTGGATATTCCGCCCATTTGCTCAGGTCCATGCTTGGCAACACTCCGCTTCGACATGGGACTCGGGGATTTCTGTCAAATTTTTTAATAATATTATTTTATACTTCTCACATTTTACGAACCTTCAATTTTAACTCTAGTCGTTTACGATTCAACTTGATGACTGATTAACAATTTTATTTCGTGACTCATTTAGTCAAGAAATATTTAAAATTATATACTTTAACTAACCAAGACTGCTTGCTTGAATTATTATTCAATCATGTGATATGCAACTCTTTGGTTATCATTTTGAAGTATACTTACATCTCGTGATCGGGTAACACCATGGGATAAATCTGTATGGTGTCGATTAGGTCAGTATTGTCACAGATTATCTTTGCCAGCTTCACTTTTCGTATCTCGTTTAGTTGTTCTAGAATAGTGAAAGCATAGGTGTAGATAGCAAAACATATGAGCATTATATTATTTTGAATTGAAGATATGTCGTATGAAGAGTTGAGTATGTGTCATATGTAGAACTGTACATGTGTTATATGTGAAGCAGTACATATGTCATATGTGCAACTGTATATACGTCATACGTGAAACTGTGTTTACATCATATGTAGAATAGTGTGTACTTCATACATGAAATTATATATAACTCATATGTAGAATTGTATATGAGTCATATGTAGAAGTGTGCATATGTCATATGTAGAATTGTATACATGTGAAATGTGCAACTGTATATACTCCATATGTGGAACTGTGTATATGTCACACATGAAACTGTATGTATCACATATGAAACTGTATATGTCATATGTGACATATGAAATTCATATGAAATTATGTATGCACCATATGTAGAATTGTACGTCATATACACATAGAACTGCATATGTGTCCTTTATTGTAGAATTTCGTACGTCATATGATACTGCATATGTCATATGTGACATATGAAATTCATATGAAATTATGTATGTACCATATATAGAATTGTACGTCATATACACATAGAACTGCATATGTGTCCTTTATTGTAGAATTTCGTACGTCATATGTAGAACCGTGTGTATACAGAACTGCGTACGTGTCATATGTGAAACTGTGCATGGTGTCCTATTCATAGGAGTCCTTGACTATCGATTCGTTCGGGAATCTCGATTCGAAAGGTTCCTTACCGAGAGTGAAGGACGATGGCTGGTTCGGTAGCTCGTACCAAAATCGATCACCTCGACGTGAATAGCTGAATTGCGTGGCAATTATACAGGCGAAGGTTGGACCCAGCATGCTACCCGGAAGCGGTCTTTCGGACACGCCACCGGACCAGAGGTCCACGTCAGCTGGATGCCTGGAAATCGATGGGGTACCATACCGTTATTTCCGGTCATTCCACTGGCGAATCATTGAAACTATGCTGACTCGTCATACAAATCATTCAAAGTCCATAGACGAATTTGTTATGAACTTCGCGTAGCAGAAAATTATAAATTTCCATAAAGCACAATCAAGGTTACTAGGTTAATATATAGATCGAGTCCCATAATACTTGAGGTCACTCAGTAAGTCTTTTAGTTTAAAAAATAATTCTGTGGACGGAAGTTGTACAATTTTCAGAAGCACTGATGTAATTGCTGTCTTGTTACTTTGCTTTTTTATTAGTATTTTTTTTATTTACTGGAGGATTTGACACTCACTCAAAGATTGAGCTGTATCTCTTGATGGTCTCGTTCGGCATGGATCCATGTAAGTCATCGAAGTTGTCTGCCCAAGGAAGACCACAGAACTTCCTACAGAAAAAACGAATTATCATTCCCGCTGCATTTCATGTAACAGATTTATAATACAGTCAGTCTCAAAACTCATATAATATAAATTTTCAAGAAATGAAATTATCAGGTATTTTTAGACAACCTTCTATTTGTTCCTGAATGAAAGAGCTACCAAAAAACTCATTTATGTAAAATTCGACATTTCCAAAATTCCTGACCTTTTTCATTTCCTCCAAGATTTATCATTTGACGAAATTTGTACCGTAATGTTGCAAACGTGAATCGAATATTAATTTATAGCGAAGAAAAGAAATATTGTGAGTGAATTTCAGTGATTGCTGACCTGAACTCCATGTAGCTCGGAATACCAAATTCACGACCGCGTTGCATGTTAAAGGAGACCAAATCCAGTCCAAATTTCGCACCGGCTTTTTTAAACAGGTGATTCGTAACCTGTGGAATTGAGGTGCGTGAAGTGCGTTAGGTTTTTTCAATTTATTTTCAAGTTTCACTGGAAAGTCATACCTCTTGCGTGATAGAGTCGTCCATGGCTTGAGCGACTTGGTTCATCAACCCCATTATGTATTCGTCGAAAACACCAGCGCGGTACAGGTCGAAGGGTCTTCTTATCAAGTCTGATAGTCTCTTTGAAGCTTTAACAGAAATTGGTATTAATTAACTCTGAGTGAATGGCTATATCAAGTATTATAAACACATATGTGTCTTTCATACATTATATGTCGTTCAATTTTTATTATGCAACAAAGAAAATTATATTCAACTTCAAAAGTTTGAAGATTTTGATGCATGAGATCTTTAGGAATTTTAAAATTGTTACACTAAAAATTATTAGTAGTAAAAATTAACTGTAACACTTAAAATTATTAATTCTTTTATAAATATTGTAAGACATTTACATATATCAGTTTTGTAAAATAGTGGATGTAGCAAATTATCTCAAATTACAAAGACAGAACAGGGGTTGCATTTCTTGAAGAATTCAATGACTTTTTAAAATATTCCTTAAACATTTTATTATTATTCCTTAAACATGTTAATTCGAAGTGAAGGAGTGTATTAATTTACCTATGAATTTGTGAGCCTTGCTCCATCTTTCCACCGCTGTTGGCAGCAACGAGTGTCCAAACCTGAACGCTGCAGAAGCGAAAGCATCAATCACAGATGGATTTACGCTTTCGTCGTAACCATCCCAGTATGCCTATAATTATTACAATTAATATTCAATATTTTCCATATACTATCAATATTTCACAAAATCTTTCAGTGCAATTTGCTACAGCTACAAAATTCTTCTAAATAATTAATTTGTCCAACAGACAACATATAAATACTTTTCAAAAATGACTAAAATTCAAATTGTTACAAAGTAATAAAACACCCCAAACTTCCTTCAAGCCGTAAAAAATTGATAAATAATTTATCATGTTTGAAGTATTGATTTGTAGACATCAGCTGTAGCGACAAATTACAGTTTGTATCTCACGTTTTTCTCCAGAAGAAGTCCAAATTTCTCCATGACATCTTTTCCTAGCAAAATAGGCAGGAACTCGTTGTAAGTGATATGTTGAATTTCCGCGATCACTATACGCCTAGCTTCCTGATAGAGAGTCTCGTCGTCCCAGTGTGGATTAATTTGTATCAATATTTTCGCGATTCTGTTGTGCTCACGTGCCATCAGCGTGTGCATACAGGTCAACACTAATTGTTCGTTCACTCGTATTTCACCTGAAAACAGCCATAAATTATTCTTCTGATCAACTTCATAGTGTCTGGGGTTGATCTATCTGAGGATAGATATCTGAGGATAGATATCTGAGGATCAAGGTATTTGTGGAGTTAGGTAACTGAAGTCTACATAGGTATTTGGGGGTGCAGGTGACTAAGGATCTCGACATTTGAGGATCAAGGTATTGGAGAATCAAGGTATTTGTGGATTTAGGTATTTGGGGATTTAGGTATTTGGGGATCTAGGTATTGGAGGATTTAGATGTCTGAGGATCTCGGTATTTGTGGATCTGAGTATTTGGGGATTCAGGTGTCTGAGGATCTCGATATTGGTGGATGTGGATATTTGGGGATTTAGGTGTCTGAGGATCTCGGTAAATGTGGATCTGGGTATTTGGGGATTCAGGTGTCTGAGGATCTCGATATTGGTGGATGTGGATATTTGGGGATTTAGGTGTCTGAGGATCTCGGTAAATGTGGATCTGGGTATTTGGGGATTCAGGTGTCTGAGGATCTCGATATTGGTGGATGTGGATATTTGGGGATTTAGGTGTCTGAGGATCTCGGTAAATGTGGATCTGGGTATTTGGGGATTCAGGTGTCTGAGGATCTCGATATTGGTGGATGTGGATATTTGGGGATTTAGGTGTCTGAGGATCTCGGTAAATGTGGATCTGGGTATTTGGGGATTCAGGTGTCTGAGGATCTCGATATTGGTGGATGTGGATATTTGGGGATTTAGGTGTCTGAGGATCTCGGTAAATGTGGATCTGGGTATTTGGGGATTCAGGTGTCTGAGGATCTCGATATTGGTGGATGTGGATATTTGGGGATTTAGGTGTCTGAGGATCTCGGTAAATGTGGATCTGGGTATTTGGGGATTCAGGTGTCTGAGGATCTCGATATTGGTGGATGTGGATATTTGGGGATTTAGGTGTCTGAGGATCTCGGTAAATGTGGATCTGGGTATTTGGGGATTCAGGTGTCTGAGGATCTCGGTATTTATGGATCTGGGTATTTGTGGATCTAGTAGATATTTGTGGATCTAGATATTTGTGGATCTAGGTATTTGTGGATCTAGGTATTTGGGAATTTAGGTATCAATAAATGTGGGTATTTAGGACCTTATCCCGAATGCAGGGATTTGCAAATGTAACAATTTGAGAATTAAATATCTGGGTTTTTGGTATTCTAGACTCCAGAGATCTAGCGATCTAGAAATCCAGAGGTCTAGGAATCCAAAAATATAATAAATTAGTGATCTGTAAAGTTAGTAAACGATCTAACGATAAACATAGATATCTACAGTAACACATCCCTCATTTAACAAGTCAATTAAAGTACAGTACACTTGGACTCTCTAAAGGAAAGTCAAACAAGACCCAAAGGAAATATCGCCAATTTAATTATATATCACTCAAGAAAAATTACAATCAGTTAATAAAGTGAGATTTCTCACGGATACAGTGCGACCAGACAAATCGTTCTCTTTCTTTCCCCAATGATTATTATAGTAACTTAACCAGTGAAGCCGTCGACCTTGATACTGGGCCACTCCCTTTCTCGATTCTACGTCAAGCTGTGTGTCGATAATCGATCGATTGAACGGATATCGACCGATCTTCGATTCGACAGCACGTAACTATTTCGACACACTGGCTTCATTGTAAACCGACTGATTCACTGCGTTTACTATGTATGATCGTTTCGATGACACGTGGCCTCGTCTTACTTCACGATAAACGGATTGGACCAAAAGTGTCATTCGTTTCATCTCTGGCTATAGTTAGTCACGTTTGCATCCCTTTTGTGGTTGGGTTAGATGAAGCTAGGTTGACATTTCTGTTACCGAACTTGGCATTTTGGGAATTTTAGGGATTTGGTAGGATTTGAGGACTTTGGGGATTTGGGAGATTTGGGGGATTTTAGGTATTCGGAGGATTCAGAAAATTTGGGGGATTTGGAGATTCTAAGAATTTTTGGGATTTGGTGGTTTTTGAGGATTTATGGATTTTGGGGATATGGGGGAATTTAGGGATTTTGGGGATTTGGGGGATTTGGGGGACTTGGGGGACTTGGAGGATTTTGGGGATTTGGGAAATTTTAGGGATTTTGGAGAATTTGAGGATTTTGAGGATTTTGAGAATTTTGAGGATTTGAAGATTTTGGGAATATGGGGAAATTTGAGGATTTTTGGGATTTGGGGAATTTCGTTGATTTAGGGGGTTTGGTGAATTTGAGGGATTTTTTGAATTTTAGGGATTTGAAGGATTTTGGGGATTTGAGCATTTTGGAATTAAAAATGTGGAAACTTCATAATTTGTACATTTCAAGCATCTTAGAATTTATGCAATTATATGAGAGTAATGTTCTGTTCATAAACGAGAATCTGAAACCTATTTATTGCAAATAATCCCTTCATCAAGTATTTGCAAATGCAGCTCCTTGTGAATTCCATTAAAACAAACCTCGAATTTCAAAATTGTCTCTTCATAAAAACAAAGTACACAAGTGATAAAATAAAAGGATTCACCGTGTATTCCAAAAGGCTCACCTGCTTCGAAGCAATACATCGATCGATTCAAACGCGTACAACCCTCGTCAGGGATGTCCAATTTGAGCGGCAGTAAATCCTTCAGTCCGTATTCCGCGAACACCGGGTTCATGCGCAACAATCCACCGTAACCGGTTCGAAGTTTCCTGAAATCAACGAACAAAAGGATGTTGAATTCGGATCTGGAGGCGTCGCGTGTCCGGAAATCTCATCCCGTGGAACGCCTTCTTCGACGCGGAGAAAGAGAACGCGGCGTTCAGCTCGATTGAGTAACTCGTGGATCTCATAATGCGAGCGGACTAGAAAGTGCGAGGAACAGAATGTATGTACGGTACTCTGCGTTAGAAAATATAGAACAAATGTAATGCTGATTTATTGTCTTGGCTGATGTAACTGATGGACGAACGGCTTTTAGTTGTTTCGAACAATCTTGTTGGTTAATGTGTTGTTAGTCGCTTGATTATCGAACGATGTCGTTCATTGCTAAAATGTTATTGATTATGGGTTAGTTATGGTTCTGTGTAATTTTGTAGAGTTGCGTATGTCTCAGTTTTCACATTCCTTGATCTCGAAATTAAGTTCATAAGTTCACAGGCTCTCAAATTGCTATATTGTCATAAGACTAGATCTTCAAATCCTAAGGTTTCCATACCTTTTCCTACATTCTTAAGTTTCTAAATTTTTGGATCTTTAAATTAGACTTATGAGATCTTCAAATTGGACTTATAAATTTCTAGATCCCCAAATTCCTGGACCTCAAGCTGTCTATATTGTCATATTCCTAAGTCTCCAAGTCCCAAAGTCCAAATATCTCTACCTTTACTTTCTTAAGTCTTCAAATCTCTGGATCCATAAGTCCATTTCTGGAAATCCTAAAATCCTCATCACCGTTAAATTACCACGTCCCCATATCCCCAAGTCTCCAAGTCCCAAGGTCCAAATACTTCTACCTCTACTTTCCTAAGTCTTCAAATCTCTGGATCCACAAGTCCATTTCTGGAAATCCCAAAATCCTCATCACCCTTAAATTACCACGTCCCCATATCTCTAAGCCTCCAAATCCCAAGGTCCAAACACCTCTACCTCTTTCCTAAGTCTTCAAACCTCTAGATCCATAAGTCCATGTCCCGAAATCCTAAAGTCATCATCCCTAAATTACCTAATCTCCATATGCTACCTTTCCGTGTCTCCAAAAGAAGACTATTACTTATGCATTTAGAAACGAATTGATCGTTTTACCTGGCAAAGGCGTCCGAAATTCCGTAAACAGTATTCCCGTCCAGCACTCCCGTCAGGAGATTAAACGGCACCCGAGATCCAAGACGGCATCCAGGTCGAACGGCGGGAAACGCTCGAACAAAGTCCATGCATTTCACGTTGAACAGCCTGTAGAAGTAATCGTCTTCCGGTATGAGGATCTCGTTGCAGTACGGATTCTTCAGGTGCGGTGGTCGATGGCAACATTCCTCCGGGTCGTTTCGGTTCAGGGGATCTGCAAGAGTGGCTCATCGATCATACGATAGCACACGGTTAGCCGGCCATTGCTGGCTCGATATAACGTTATTTATTTTAATTCCGCAACACTACCAGCGTCGTTTTACTTTCCCTGTCTCGATTATACAGATACCGATCGTTTCCCGTACTCGCGATACGTGGGAAGATTTTCTAGGCGTGTATTGGCTACGGATGCTGGGAATGATTTTCTGCGATATAATAGCAATGACCATCTCTGGAGAGAAGGTGTGATGTAGAGAATCAGAAATAATTTAATCAGATTTTAGCCTTTAACCAGAAATAATTTTACCCTCCAATCAGAAATATTGAACCATCCTAATTTTTAAAAAATAATATTTTGTCTGTTTTGTGTGTTTAATAATGTTATTGATGTGAAGTTTCCTCTTTTAAAAATTTCTCAATTAAAATTAGTTGATCGTTATTTAAGTTTGTGTCTAATGCATTACGCCCAACATGCACTACGCATGCGCACTGCTACCCCTACTACGCCGCAGTCAACCAATGAACTGCGCGTGAAAAATGCGCGCGATTGGTTCGCGATTAATGCACGATTTCTGGAATTTTAAAGCACTCGTGCGTTAAGTAAACGTGTGCTATATAAAGTGTTATACCCTGTGGCGTTTATGTAGCGTGTTACTAGCATTATTGCTAAGGTAATTAATCGCATTACTGCTGTATTACTGTTGCAATTACTGACGAAATTAATTACTATCGTAACATATGTATTAGCCTCTGTTAGTCTATACATTATTGCTTTATAGTAAATATTATATTCTACAATATTACTGTATTTACTCTATTCACAATATTTATTGTAAAGGTTACAATATTTATTGTAAATACTATGCTCCACATTATTCATTATGTCCTGTATATAATACTATATCAGACAATACTGCACCCTACACTATTCAATATGTCCCATACACAATACTGTACCATATCTCTACATACTCTCTACAGATAGCACATACTATACCCAATGATTGAAACGATAATATTTTAAATGCCCAAAGCAATTTCATTTACCGTAGCAATAATTGATATCCGACCCGAAGCCGTTCGATCTCGTTATCTGACCAAATTGCCGTGTACGAAGTTGCGACAAATTTCTCAGAACTGTCCGCTTAATTGCTCTATACGATCAGCGTAACGGTGTCGCGGTTAATTACGGAGTCTCAAGAGTGTGGATTTTGGCGTGGATCGCACGGCCCGTGGAAAACTTCACGGTAGTCACATGATCGGCCTACCGGTTATCTGTTCACCGATCGTTCGCTTTCTCTGGCAGTTACCCTAGTTTCGATAGACGGTAAATATCCGACGTAGAAGGGCTTGGGAGCTGTCTACTATATACGCTCGCTATATATGAACGTCCCCGAACGGCGCACGCTGATGTAATTGAACCGATACCGATTGCATAATTTGCTATTGACTGAAAATTAGGACTCGGTTACTTTCTCCGTCTCGATCGCTGTTCTTTGTCATTTCTTGCTCGTTAACGTATGAAATTAATCACGATATACGTGCTCAAGGTTGCGAACGTTTAACACGTTAATTGACTCCCTTATCCTCTTAATTAATCGGGTCTGGTTACAATTACTTCGTAACGTTCGATGTAACATTGAACTTGCAATTAGAAACGGACGTAGAAAGTGACCAAACCGTTTCGAAGTGCCCACATACTAGGATCAAAAATACCTCATATATCATACGAAGGAAATATCAATCATCAGTTTTTTAATGTTAAAAATATTAAGCAAGAGTTATAAAAGAGATCATAAAGAGTTTTATGGGACTCTAGTTTGTAAGGTGTCTAACAAGAAAGCCTCCAGGGCAAGATAAATCACAGTCAAAGAAAGAGAAGATAAATTTTCTAAGAACCTAAGAGCCTAACAGATTGACACGCATATTAGATCGTTAGAGTATGGTGATAATTAGGTCTAGAATTGTACCTAGAGGTGTGCCGGTCAACGTGTAGTCGTGGTCCATAAACTGGCCCCAGGCGATCACCATAACTGTGCCAGCATGATCGTGATAACCTTCGTCAGGGTGCATGGTGCGTGACACGATCCGTGATAATGGTAAATCATGGCCGGTTACCGATATCCTGGGTGCAGTTAAACCGTCCGAAAATCGTGGAGGCATCAGTCTGCGATAAGAAGAATTCATCATAAGAAGCTGTATAAACATCTGTTATCTGATAGAAGCAATGTTCACCTTTGAAACGGTGCCAAGGTAGAACCCCAGGTAGGATTCTGTAAATTCGTGCAGAGACCGTCGTTTCTTCGATATTTTCCTGCTCGACACTCCACGTTGCTCAAAAAGGAGGGACACACCTCTCGAATCAAGGTTTTCGATGTGTCGATCAGGGGGAGACTCTTCTCGATCTCTTCGGTTGTTAGCCCGTATCTGTGGTTATTATTGAGAAGGTTGAGTAGATATTTGATGGGAGTTTAGGATTTTGGGGAGGTGGGTGTTTTGGGGTGTGGGGAGGTGGAGAGGTGAGGAGTTGGGGATTTTGGGAGGTGGAGGTTTGAGGATTTTGAGAGGTGGAGAGGTGAGGATTTGGAGAGTTGGGAGTTGAGGTTTTTGGGATTTGGGGAGTTGAGGATTTGGAGAGGTGGGAAGTTGGGACTTTTAGGATTTGGGGATTTTGGGAGTTGAGGATTTGGAGAGTTGAGAAGTTGGGGTTTTTGGGATTTGGGGAGTTGAGGATTTGGAGAGGTGGGAAGTTGGGACTTTTAGGATCTGGGGATTTTGGGAGTTGAGTGTCTTGGGATTTGGAGAGTTGGGAAGTTGGGGATTTTAGGATTTGGAGACTTTGGAAGTTGGGGTTTTTGGGATTTGGGGAGTTGAGGATTTGGAGAGTTGGTAAGTTGGGACTTTTAGGAATTGGAGATTGTGGGAGTTGAGTATCTTGGGATTTGGGGAGTTGAGGATTTGGAGAGGTGGGAAGTTGGGACTTTTAGGATCTGGGGATTTTGGGAGTTGAGTGTCTTGGGATTTGGAGAGTTGGGAAGTTGGGGATTTTAGGATTTGGAGACTTTGGGAGTTGAGTATCTTGGGATTTGGGGAGTTGAGGATTTGGAGAGGTGGGAAGTTGGGACTTTTAGGATTTGGAGATTGTGGGAGTTGAGTATCTTCGAATTTGGGCACTTAAGGATTTGGAGAGTTGGGAATTTGATGATTTTAAGATTTAGGAAGTTGGAGATTTGGGAATGCTGGAATTAGGAAAGTTGACAAGTTAGAGATTACAGGTTTTGTGATCAAGAAATTTTATATATCTTGCAGATTTCAGGATACAGAGAGTTAGCTATTTTAATATTTGTAAATTTTAGAGATTTGTAGATACAAACACTTTGCAGTGTAAGAACGTATTGAAGCCAATGTTACTAATATACCAATTAACATGCTTTTTTGATTATTTCCCCCTACTCATGTTCCCAAAAATGAATCTTAACACTAAAACTACCAAACTCGTCAAATGAACGCTCCACAAGTTGCTTATTATAAGGTACACATTTTGTTAAAGTACATTCGTTAAAGTCAACATTGATTTTCATCAAGATAAAAAATAAACGTGTATACTAATTTATGTTTCGTTTGTTGCTTTATTTTTTAACTTCATTTTTAATTTCAAATTAAGTACACATTATATGTCAGTAGGTTTAGCGTTAATTTCCTCAATTTAACAACTATATTAGCAATTAACAACAACATAGAAGTTAACCATTTCTAATAACAAAACAAGTAATCCCAATAAACCCATGAAACGATCCCAATTGATCGAAGTCATTCAATGAACGCTGACCTAACTTTCTAACAATCATCGAGTGGAACTGGCGCTCCAATTATCGCGAAGCTCGTCTCTAAGTTAAGTTTGAATGGCAAATCGGAAGCGAAAGGGGATCTTACGTTTGCGCTAGGTTGCTGCTGATGTCCAGAAGGAGTTCGCCGACCGTGGCCAAGTCTTCTGGCCGCCATGTTTTGCCTTTGGGTTGCGCAACATCTGCATCAACCGACGAAACGTGTGGGTGAACATGGTGAACGCGAGCATCGGCCAAACAAAAGAGCAGCTTGTAATCGTGGATATGTACGAGTATGTAATCGTTTTAAACGTGACGAGATCGCGAACAGAAGAGTTAACGACATATAGTAAATCATCGAACTACGTTATTTTATACAGGCTGTCCCATTTGACGCGGTCTTTTTGTCACTTTAAATTATTTATGACTGCAAAGTGGAGAGTGAATTGAAGAGGAATGTCTCTTTTGTGATATAGAAGACTCTTTTGTGATGTAGAAGATATATGAAGGTTGACTTAAATTTATTTTGCAATTTCTAGTTTTTACTTTCATGTTTCTGTGTTTGAAAATATTTGTTATTTCAAGTCATCAAATTTTACTGTTTTTGACTTCGAAGTTTGCAAGTTTGTATATTTTCAAATTTCATACTTTTCCAATTTCTTCAAATTTCTTCAAATTCCAAATTGTTTTAAATTCTTGAACTACTAATTCTTTTGATCACCAAAATTCTAGGAGACTGAATTTTCTGTATACTATATATTAGTTCTACTTTTCTATATGGATCTCTAAATCTCATATGCTTTCACCTACGAAAGCTTAACATCGGATGACGTCCCCTTTATTGACATTTCGACATTTACTGACGTCACGATTTAGAGATTCTACTTCAAGTGAGACACTCTGTATTAGCATTTTTGTTGGGTCATCGTGAACAGGTTGCAAAGACACTCACTGATACGTTTTCTCGCCTCGACGTAGGCGCGATTCACAGCGTCGTAGGTGATGCACGATGGAGATCCTGCTGTTGCTGAACTGAAACATTCGATAAACGAAACATCAGATATATTGCATTGTGTAACAAGTTCGCTTCGACCGCAAACAGTTGTATTACACAGTTGCTTACATTGTTCATCAATTTTGAAATATAAGTTTACCAGTTTGACATAAAAGTATCATCTTGTGGTATGTCAACTCGTCGGTAGATTTTAATCGAAACACTTCCCACTCTTTTTTAAAAAGTCTTTTCTCGCGACAAGATGTGAAAGGCTTTTTAGGTGGTTTTACGAGAGCAGACTCGCATGGATTATTTACAGTCTTCATTCCATTCTTTTCGACTTAATTACCTAATGTTCCAGTTTCATGAGAAGTTAGAGCGCGAGAGTCGCTATACTCGTCAATTGTGCTCGCGCATATTCTGTATCAAGGTAATCCGAAACTGGCGTACAAACCGTGAGTCCACGTGAATTGCCATATCCCGTTTCTTGCAAAGAAACATACTGGCATTGACGTGCCACTCGTGGCTTTTACCTTCAACGCATGACCCCGGTGGTTTCTTCTGGGTCCCTTTGCCTTTTAGAATCGATCGTATAACTCGTTACATCGATCATCGATTCAATTCACCCGGTTTTTTAACCTTAGACACAGTTAGACGCAGTTTCAATTTACTTCTACTTTTCTTACTTGTATTATAAGCGTTCTTTATATCTTATTTTGGGATTTGTGTGAACCTGGAGGAAGTTTTGGAAGTTGTAGTTTATTCGTAGTGCATTTTTAGAGATTTGGAGTTTGGGAAGTTTAAGATCTCTAGGAATTAAAAATTTGAAAGTCGCAAACTGTTGAAGCTTTAAGATTTTGAAATATTGAAGTCCTAATGCTTAAAAATTCCGATGTTAAAAAATGTCAAAGTTCAACAATTTCAAACCATAAAAATTTCAAAATTCCTAAAATTACAAAAATTACAAAAATTACAAAATTACAAAATTACAAAATTACAAAATTACAAATCACCAAAATTCCAAATCTCCAAAATTCCAAATCACCAAACTTTCAAATCTTCAAAATTCCAAATCTCCAAAATTTCAAATCTCAAAAATTCCAAATCTCCAAAATTCCAAATTTCTAAAATCCCAACTTCCCAAAATTCCAAATCTCTAAAATCCCAACCTCCCAAAATTTCAAATCTCTAAAATCCCAATCTCTCAAAATTCCAAATCTCCAAAATTCCAAATTTTCAAAATTCCAAATCTCTAAAATCCCAACCTCCCAAAATTCCAAATCTCTAAAATTCCAATCTCCCAAAATTCCAAATCTCTAAAATCCCAACCTCCCAAAATTCCAAATCTCTAAAATGCCAACTTCTCAAAATTCCAAATCTCTAAAATCCCAACCTCCCAAAATTCTAAATCTCTAAAATCCCAACCTCTCAAAATTCCATATCCCAAAATCCCAAACTCCCAAAATTCCAAATACCCCATCTTCCAACCCATCATTCCCAATTCAAATCTCGAAATTTTTCTCAATTTTCCTAAAATTGATCTCACGTCTAAAGATCAAACAAACATTTCATTAGGATAAATGGTAGGACTTCATCAACATTCTTCCAGCATCCACGGTGTCCGTAAATTGTATCTCGAAATCCGTTGAACGGTATTTTCTCACAAATTATATGCTGTCGCAATCGTTATTAAATAGAGTAATGGGTGCACGCTGAAAGTATTTGCGAGAATGCACTTGAGGGCCGTTCTGCGTTTAATTGTAACAAAGTGCATTCTCGCGCAATTTCGTGTCATAACTGCAGCTCTAACGAGCTACGTGCGGTTAAGTTTAATAAATTATTATATCGATTTTCTGGTAAATTAATGCTGCCGAACCTGAAATTCTCTCTGCAGTATTCCATCGTATTTTTAAAAATTCGATATCGGAGGAGTCAATCACTTACTTATCTTATAAATATTCATTTAGTTGTAACGATATTTTTGTGTAATGAAACTTTCATGTAACCTCAAATGTTATAGCCGGTCAAAAGTCTGCATTTTACTATAAAACCTTAAACATATAATTTTTTAATAAATGTTTCTCATAAAAATATCTTTACAAGTTACCAGTTGAATAATATTTTATTATAAAACCAATTTTATATAAATTTTTCTCACAAGTAATTTTACATGGTACATGTTATCAATCATATAATTACAAAACCTAAAAGCTACAATTTTGTATAAATTTTGTTAAGCAGTATTTCATTATAAAATCTAGAATTTACATTTGTAAAAATATTTCACCTAATAAATTTAGTATAATAGAAGTTAAATAATATTATGTCACAAAACTTAGAAAACCCGCAACTATTTACATATTTTCTCATAACAAATTGTGTAACGTAAGTCCTTAATTAAATAAGATTTCTAAGCTTATTCCAGCAGGTTTTTAAATATATCTGTCTTACAGAGAACCGGATACGTATTCGGGTTAAAAACAATTTCTCTGTACGCACATTTGGTTTGGCTATGAGGGCCCATAAAAGGTGAAGTCATGCTCGGAACACGTTTCTGCCTTTGATGGTGTACACGAGCTACATTTCGTACATTCAACGTAACGAAATTGGTCGAGAGCAGTTTTTTTAAATTGCGTAGAAAGTACCTAACTTTAGATACGACTTAACAAAGACGTTTCAACCACGTGCACGTTACGTGAACGGGGAAACTACTACCACCTCGGAATTAAGATATCCAGTGATATCTTGTAAAGAATATAAACGACGTGATTATGGTTATTAATAATATTAATCGCGAGAAAGTTCTACCGTTTGATGACCGAAAATCATTTCGCGCTGACAGGGGAAACTTGTCAAGATGATGGATCTCGAGTTTCGTTTCTTCGTACGTTTACCAACACTTATTTGGTAATTTGCGAAACATGAACCAATTAATCTTTTTTGGATATTTTTTGTGGGACATGAATTATTTTTAGAGATCTTTACTGAGGTTTATGTGACTTTTATTTATTTTGTGTAGGCTTGTTTTTGGAAATAATAAATATACTTGTCATTTAATGTTTGTACATTATCATATTTTGTATGTCACTTCTTGTGCTGCGCATGCGCAAAGGTGTATGGGAAGATGTTAAACAAGATGAGTTAATGATCTACTGATTTATTACCATAACAGATCTACAGTTACTATAATCACGAAATAATTATACAATTTTAGCATAGAATTAAAATACAGTTATAACTTTAATTATAATTAAATATAACTTTAAAACATTCCAAAGTTTTGTCAAATTAAAATTTTGTTCAAACACTTACGTTATTTTATTGAATGAATTTTTGAACTTGAACGATTTGCCGCGCTTTTTGCAAGCTTCAGTCACACCTCTGACAAATGTATTTACCATGACATTCTTATTGAAAGTACACGCTTCCTCTCACTGCTGTACCTTCAATTATGTCCTACATTGAAACTAATAGGAATCGTATAGTATGCAAGCTGAAAAGTTACACCAGCTTACGGAACACATGTAACAAAACTAGGAACACGATCTCTGTATTAGTTGCACAAGCTATAGATTTCTCATTCCATTCAGTATCAGCTGACAAAGTATCGATATACAAGGCTGAATTGTAGTATCGATAACTGTAAAGGCATTTTTACTTCGTATGGAATAAAATTATTCTGGGTTTTTCATTATGATCGAGTTTCGTCACGTCTATTGTTAATCATTTTCCCTGTCACTTTTCAATAACTTCGATAATTATCTTATCTTCTCTGTTGTGTAGTGAAATGATTTATTGCGAAATTAATTTCTATATGATTTCAGTGTTTAATTAACTGTTTGATTAGCTGTATGATTGATTGTTGGATTAATTGTTTTATGGGTGTATTAAGTCTTTAATTCTTTAATTCTGCAGTTTTTCAATTCTTCGATTCTTCCACCTTTTGGTCATTTGATAGTTTAATTTTTCAATTTTTCAATTTTTCAATTTCCTAACTTTCCAATTTTTCAATTTTCTAATTTTTCAACTCTTCAACTCTTCAACTCTTCAACTCCTCAACTCTTCAACTCCTCAACTACTCAACTACTCAACTACTCAACTACTCAACTACTTAACTACTCAACTCTTCAACTCTTCAACTCTTCAAATCATCAAATCTTCAACTCTTCAACTCTTCAACTCTTCAAATCATCAAATCTTCAACTCTTCAACTCTTCAACTCTTCAAATCATCAAATCTTCAATTCTTCAATTCTTCAATTCTTCAATTCTTCAATTCTTCAATTCTTCAATTCTTCAATTCTTCAATTCTTCAATTCTTCAATTCTTCAATTCTTCAATTCTTCAATTCTTCAATTCTTCAATTCTTCAATTCTTCAATTCTTCAATTCTTCAATTCTTCAATTCTTCAATTCTTCAATTCTTCAATTCTTCAATTCTTCAATTCTTCAATTCTTCAATTCTTCAATTCTTCAATTCTTCAATTCTTCAATTCTTCAATTCTTCAATTCTTCAATTCTTCAATTCTTCAATTCTTCAATTCTTCAATTCTTCAATTCTTCAATTCTTCAATTCTTCAATTCTTCAATTTCTCAATTCCTTAACCTTTCACTTCATTTTATTGCAAATATGCAACATAATACACTGCACAATTCAACTGTAAATCAGTGGTAAGTACAAACAACTATACAATCTCATAATTAATCAAATTATTAAAAAAATTTCTTCCTGTTCATAATTACAACCTTTCAAACTTTATCGACAAAGTACAATTACCAGCTAATTCTTGCATGATTTCCCTCAAACATTAGTAATCACAGAAAACAGTTAGTCATACAATTGAGCAATAAACACTCTTATGATTCGCCATAAGAGGATTGCGGCTAATCGAGAGCAATTCTCTTATTATACTCGTTAAGTCATCCTAAGAAATTCCCAACGAAACACTTTATTAACAGCAGGCTACAGAAGGATCATGATTCACAATGACAGATTTTTCGCAATTAAAAAATTGAATTATTAAACGACGCGTGGGTATGCTTAAGCGATTCGATGTTCATAATTGTACGAACACGATGCAATCGCCGGACCCGACTCGTTAAAAATGACAGAATTCCGTGATACGTTCGGAAAGATATTAGTAAATTGATTTCAGTGGTGTTTTACAAATTCACGCACGATTATTGCCCATTAATCATTTCGATCGTTAGCCGGTGGGTAATTAATTCTTTTCTGTCTTCAAATTGTCCATCGATGACCGGTATGCTATTCAACTTTTTATTTTTCATTCAATTAATTATCCTTGCAGATTTTTCATTTTTTGAGGTAGTCACGCTTTGCTAATTTTAGGCCAATATTTTTTTTCAAGTGTTTTTATGTAGTTTTATTAATTACTGTGTGTGGGAATTTCTGTGGATATAATTGTAGTTGTTTTTGGAACAATATTTAAAAAATTTAGTTACTGAGAAATTAAAATATTTTAGTATTTAGGATTGAAAGTATGAGCTTTTGCATATAAAAGAAAAATTAAAAAAATTAAAAATATTCAGAGAATTTAAAGAATTCAAAGAATTCAAAGAATTCAAAGAGTTCAAAGAATTCAAAGAGTTCAAAGAATTCAAAGAGTTCAAAGATTTCAAAGAATTCAAAGAGTGCAAAGAGTTCAAAGAGTTCAAACAATTCAAACAATTCAAACAATTCAAACAATTCAAACAATTCAAACAATTCAAACAATTCAAACAATTCAAACAATTCAAACAATTCAAATAATTCAAAAAATCCAATGAATTCAAAAAATTCAAAAATCTACTGCCTAAAGAATATAAACTGAATCCAAACATCCCTAGACTGTAATCTTTGCATTCCAACATATCTATCTATGAAAATTCCTAAATTTCAAGAATCCAAAATTTTGACAAGGCAAATTCTGAAAAGTAAACATACTAAAATTGCAACAGTCGAAAAATCGCAATGTTTGGAACGAGTCGCAATATAATCTCAGAGATCTTTCACCACGAGCTGTTCCACTTAGACAACCACGTGTGTCGGATAATTGCATCTTTCGGGATGGTTCAACGTTAACTCAAAGCGAACCGAATCAGGCAGTAATTTTACGTAATCACCGTGAGACTAGCGCTAAGATTTTTGAGATCCGGAGAAAGCAGGAACAGTGATCAAAACGTAGTAACATTAGCCAGGACTTTCACTATCCATCTAACCTTTGTTCATCAAGGATCCGTTGAACGAGCAAATCACCGTTTTTATATAAAGCGACACTTTCGATATCGTTTTACATGCATCTAGGTATATGATCTTGAACGAGTGGAAAATCGAGAAGCATTTTTTCGCCTGTCTCGCGTTACCCGTTAAGGACATTGAACGGTTCATAATTATCGATCGAGATGGAATGAGGATATCGAACAAGAACGTTGAAAGGGCAAGAACGTATTTAATTTATACCGGACAATTTTTATTTTTAAAGAGGTCTAAAAATAAATTTAACCAAAAATTCAATTACTTAAAATTATATGACGTCATGTTACACAGAAGAAATATTTTTGTATAAAAAATAAATGGGTGATTTTATAAAAGGAAAGAAAGAGCGTAGAACATCTCGAGCTTAAACAGAGTTGTTTTTACAGAACCTTGTCTGTCTATCCTGACAGAGATATTACGTACAAAAAAGGAAACGATGAATTATTAATAAGCCGATAACAAGGGGGCCGGTCTTGATCAACTTGATCTCAAAGTTACATTGCCGTTAATTATAATACAAAGGACGTTTACACCAGAGATCTATGTAGTTCTAACAGGCGGGAAAGATCAAGGAAACCGTAACAAGGAAAGACTAATGTGATTGTCTTCATTAATAACTCCTTGTTTTTACACTAGTCAACGGTGTATACACGTGTACCGTTATGTGTCAGATCCTCGAAGCAAGGAAAGTAAAAAATGCGACTCTGATGAATGAATTCGAAAGTTTCCAGGTTAATCATCGTCTGAGTAAATTACTGGAATGATTAAAAAATTTAGATTTGATAAAAATTGAAGTTCTAATCGAAAGTATACGAGTTTTCTCTTTAGACAAAGAAAGATAAATTGATAATTAAAATCACAAATGCATGTGTATTCTTGCATTCTTATAGTATAGGGGTCTAGGGATTTAAGGATCTAGTGATCTAGGGATTTAGGGATTTGGGAATTTGGGGATTTAGGGATTTAGGGATTTAGGGATTTAGGGACTTTGGGATCTATTGATATTTGCATCTTGGTATATTTGGAATTAGGGAGATTGGAAACTAGGGTGATTGGGAACTAGGGAGATTGGGAACTAGGGAGATTGGGAACTAGGGAGATTGGGAACTAGGGAGATTGGGAACTAGGGAGATTGGGAACTAGGGAGATTGGGAACTAGGGAGATTGGGAACTAGGGAGATTGGGAACTAGGGAGATTGGGAACTAGGGAGATTGGGAACTAGGGAGATTGGGAACTAGGGAGATTGGGAACTAGGGAGATTGGGAACTAGGGAGATTGGGAACTAGGGAGATTGGGAACTAGGGAGATTGGGAACTAGGGAGATTGGGAACTAGGGAGATTGGGAACTAGGGAGATTGGGAACTAGGGAGATTGGGAACTAGGGAGATTGGGAACTAGGGAGATTGGGAACTAGGGAGATTGGGAACTAGGGAGATTGGGAACTAGGGAGATTGGGAACTAGGGAGATTGGGAACTAGGGAGATTGGGAACTAGGGAGATTGGGAACTAGGGAGATTGGGAACTAGGGAGATTGGGAACTAGGGAGATTGGGAACTAGGGAGATTGGGAACTAGGGAGATTGGGAACTAGGGAGATTGGGAACTAGGGAGATTGGGAACTAGGGAGATTGGGAACTAGGGAGATTGGGAACTAGGGAGATTGGGCACTAGGGAAATTTGGAACTAGGGAAATTGGGAACTAGAGAGATTGGGAACTAGGGAGATTGGAAACTAGGGTGATTGGGAACTAGGGAGATTGGGAACTAGGGAGATTGGGAACTAGGGAGATTGGGAACTAGGGAGATTGGGAACTAGGGAGATTGGGAACTAGGGAGATTGGGAACTAGGGAGATTGGGAACTAGGGAGATTGGGAACTAGGGAGATTGGGAACTAGGGAGATTGGGAACTAGGGAGATTGGGAACTAGGGAGATTGGGAACTAGGGAGATTGGGAACTAGGGAGATTGGGAACTAGGGAGATTGGGAACTAGGGAGATTGGGAACTAGGGAGATTGGGAACTAGGGAGATTGGGAACTAGGGAGATTGGGAACTAGGGAGATTGGGAACTAGGGAGATTGGGAACTAGGGAGATTGGGAACTAGGGAGATTGGGAACTAGGAAGATTTGGAACTAGGGAGATTTGGAACTAGGGAGATTTGGTACTAGGGAGATTTGGAACTAGGGAGATTGGGAGCTAAGGATATTTGGAACTAGGGAGATTAGGAACTAGGGAGATTGGGATCTAGGGGTATTTGGAATTAGGGATATTTGGATCTGGAGATATAGAAATCTAGGGATCTCGGGATTTACGAACTTAGACATTTGTGAATGTAGAAATTCGAAAATTTGAATACCCCAAAATCTAAAAAAAATCTAAAAATTTGAACACTTACCAATTCGACATTTTCAAAGAGGTGAATATTGACAAATCTGTAAATGTACCAATTAAAAAATTTGTAAACTTGATAACATATCAAATTTGACAACCCCCATATTTATAAACGTAAGAATGCAAGAATCGTAAACACCATTTATTGAAATGAAGTCTTTTGCACCCGAGTGTACAGTAACTAAATACAACAAGCAATGAGCGCCTTTTTACGAGTATCATTATAACAAATGGCCGTTGAGTTGTTCCTGTCGCAAGCGACGTGTCGCAAGAGGTTAATACAGATATATAGTTTGAGTGGCGTCTTAATAAATCAGCTGCAAAAGAATCCGCGCCAGAGGCAACTTGCTTTCGTTGCGTCCAACAAGTCCGGTTACAATTCGACAACTTACAAGGATCCACGGAGCAAATTGTACGTGTAATCGAAGACGCTTGTTCTTCCTGGATTGTTTAAGATCAAGGCACAATCGTCGCCGTTTGCATAAACCTCGACGGGCTGGTATTGCAGGCCGTTGCAACTATGGTTGTTGCTCCAGAACGCTGCTAGCAGCAGGAGCCCGATTATCGCGGATCGTATCCGCCTTATCACAGATCTGAAACATGAAGAACACGGTGATTAGCGATTTTTGGCATCGTTATTACTTAAAAGGCTTGAAAGGGGACGACTTTTGTAACGTAACGACTCTAGATAATTCGGTTTGGAAGAAAGTTACTTGAATAAAAGTTGATGTCGTAAGGATACTTTTGGTAAATTGAGAAATGCACTCTCTCTTGGTAATTTAAAAAGTGTGGTCTCTGTTGTAACTTTAGAAATTAATCTGGGGTAATTAAGATATAAACTTCAGGGTATTCAAGGAAGAAAACTAAATGTTAATATCGAAGTGGATCTTCAACTCCTGTAGGATGAGAGGATGATGCTTTACAAATCCCACACTATTGCATTTCAAATCCACATATGCCAAAATCCTCAATCTCCCACATCCCAAAATCCTCAAACTCCTGTATTCTCAAAACCTCAAACCCGAAATTACTGAAATCCTCAAATTCCCAAATTCATAAAACTCCAAAATCTTAAATCCCCAAAACGTCAAAATCCTATATTATTAAATTTATAAATCCCCAAATCCCTATACACTTAACTTCCTAGTGATCTACTGATCTAGGGATTTGGGGATTTAGGGATTTAGAGATGTAGGGATTTTGGAGTTTAGGAATTTAGGGATTTAGGGATCTAGGGATATTTGGATCTAGAACAATTGGGATATAGAGATATTTGGATTTAGTGAATCTAGGGATATTTGTATCTACGAATATTTGGATCTAGGTATATTGGGAACTAGGGAGATTGGGAACTGGGAGATTGGAAACTAGGGAGATTGGGAACTAGGGAGTTTGGGGACTAGGGAGATTGGGAACTAGGGAGATTGGGATCTAGAGAGATTGGGAACTAGGGACATTGGAAACTAGGGTGATTGGGAACTAGGGAGATTGGAAGCTGGGGAGATTGGGAACTAGGGAGATTGGGAACTAGAGAGATTGGGAACTAGGGAGATTGGGAACTAGGGAGATTGGGAACTAGGGAGATTTTGGGAATTAGGGAGATTGGAAACTAGGGAGATTGGGAACTAGGGAGCTTGGGAATTAGGGAGATTGGGATTTAGAAAGATTGGGAACTAGGGAGATTGGGAACTAGGGTGTTTGGAAACTAGGGAGATTGGGAACTAGGGAGCTTGGGAACTAGGGAGATTGGGATCTAGAGAGATTGGGAACTAGGGTGATTGGGAACTAGGGTGCTTGGGAACTAGGGAGATTGGGAACTAGGGTGTTTGGGAACTAAAGAGATTTGGAACTAGGGATATTTGGATCTAGGGAGATTAGGAACTAGGGAGATTGGAAACTAGGTATATTGGGAACTAGGGAGAGAATCTCCCTACATCCTCATACACTAAAATTCCTCCATCCGCAATATCCGTACGAGAAAACGAATGCATAAACGAGAGATAGCACGAAAGTATGAATAATGTCTGCGCAACTTAAAAATGTATCTGTCTATCGCTCATCTCTCAAACAATCGTACGTTGCAACGAAGATAAGAGATATTAAACGAGGCATTTCGCGTTTTGCAACACGATTTCTTCTCCGCGTCGGTGCATCGTCGAAAACGAGCATGCTTGTTACGATAAGATCCAAGGTGGGCATGATCTTGATGCTTTCGCTTGTGCATTCGTGAAATGATACCTTGAATCCTGACGCATCCTCGAATCTTTCGAAAAAATCGTGGAATTTCATCATGCGTTATTGCATTCCGTTCGTTTTCGAAATTACGCAATCGATTATCGATCGAAAGTGTAGCACTACAATTATATAAATCGACGAGGCGTTACCACACGCCATCGCGATCGTTCGTGAATTTTTTGTTTGTTCGATAAATGGAAATCGCTGATCGTATCGGTATAACTTTATCATTAGAACTCGTGTTTCATTTGCGCTCGTATTTTCGGCTTCTTCCAGTTATATAAAACAACGGAGTTATATAAAAAAAAAAATTTCTTTTTTAAGAGGACAAATTTTTCCTCGTTTAGGATTTTATTATTAGTATTCTTTTTTGGAATTTTTCAATTCTAATTATATTTTCATTGTTCGATTAATTGTAAATTAAAGGGTAAGGCAAATTTATGATATAGTAAGTTAGATCCCTAGGTTCCGGAATTCCTAAATTCAAATATCCCTAGATTCATATTTCTCTAGATTCCAATATCGTTAGATTCATATTCCCTAGATCCAAATACCCCTACATCCAAATATCCCTAGATTACAATATTCCAATTTCAAATATCTCTACTTCCAAATATTCATAGGTCCAAATATCTTGGGGTTTTGGGGAATTTTAGGTTTCAAATAGGGATATTGATATACAGAGAAGTGACGATTTAGGGATATTGCGATGTGAGAATATTGGGAACTAGGGAGATTGGAAACTAGGGTGATTGGGAATTAGGGAGATTGGAAGCTGGGGAGACTGGGAACTAGGGAGATTGGCAACTGGGGATGAATATTAAACTGGGGATAGAATATTGGGATGTGGGGATATTGGGACGTAGTGATATTGGAATGTAAGGACATTAGAATCTAGGGATATTGGAATGTAAGGACATTAAATTCTAGGGATATTCCAATGTAAAGATATTAGAAACTAGTGATATTGAAATGTAAGGACACTAGAATCTAATGATATTGGAATGTAAGGGCATTAGAATCTAGGAATATTATAAACTTGCAAAACTAGAATTTAGTGATATTCGTATTTAGAAATATTAAAACATAGTACCATAGAAATGAAGGTTCCTTGAATGTAAAGATACTGGTATGTAGATATATTGTGAAGTACTAACATTGAAATATAAGTTCAACGAAATCTAGGAATATTGTAATCTTGATTATCTGCAATCTAGGGATATTGACACTTATCGTTAGTGACATTACAGTATAGGTTCTTTTTTTAACGTAAGAATACTGAAATCTAATAATATTGAAATCAATAGATATTCAAATCAAAATAATATTAAAATCTAGGGATATTATAGTTCCTAAATAATAGTATCTAGGGACATTGTGCTCTAAGTATAAATTCTACGAATTTTAGGGTTCCTAAATAATATTTGAGAATTTAGAAATTCAGAAATTTTAAAATCTATGAATCCAAAAAAACAGAATATCTAAATCATAAAAATTTTAAATATGGCAATATAACGAGAGTGTAATGTCGACAAGAGTCTCCTTTTAATTGGACATACGATTTTGTAACAGAAGTAATTAAATATAGTTTATGCAATCAAATAGAACTTTGACAAGAGTCTTCATAAATATGGCAATATAACAAGAGTTTAATATTCCCGCTTTTTTATTTCCTGCATCTACAGTCCAATATATAACAAGAGTTTACCAGGAATTTATATTTTACCGCATTTTTCTTTAGAAACCCGTCAACCGTGTTATGTTAGATCTTAATTTTCGCCATGCAAGGATACTTGCAAAAGTATCGAACACGTAATGTATCAATTACATAAGGAATGGGCGAATATCGAATTTGATTCTAACTGTACTTCTTGTTATTCACCTTACGCGCTCTGCAGTACGTTCGCGAACGAAACGTGCCAATAAACCGGTCGATACATTCGATTTCATAAGACCTATTAACCAATTGCCTTCAATCAAGGACTCTAACTGTATACAATTTAAGGAATTCCCTCTTAAACGTCATAAATATCGGGGAATACGATGGAGAATCGATTAGTCTAGAATTTCATGAACTTTCGATGCACGTTCGATTCTTAAGGACTTTATCGCTTTGGATTCTTCGTTAATCGAGTTGAAATCCGGAAAAACTTGAATTTTCAACGTGGAATATTTATTTGATGAAAGTAAATTGCGTGGTTGGCATTAATATCGGAGGGAATGTTGTGTTATTCAAACTTTGTGTAAATCTTCGTGTTTTTGAAATGTAAATTGTTGGAAAACTGAGAACGTGGTTACGGTGTTTTGTAAGAAAAGTTTTAGTCGTGTTGCGCAAGCTTGTATAATAAATTTAGAGATGCTTATTTTTATGTACTGAATTTTTTATTTCAAGCAAAAATTGTGGGTTTTATATTTCTCTTGCAAATTGTCGAAGCTTGTAATTATAAACTTAATAATAATTAATTGTAAATCAATAATAATAAATCAATCAAATCAATAATATCAATGTAAATCAATAATAATAATAATTATAAAGATAATTTTAACGATAATTATAAATAATAATAATTATTATTATTATACTGTCTTTGTGCGTGATATATCGAAATCTATAAAATAAGCATAAATTATGCAACCTATATTTATTTTTTACACTGCAGATTTCGATGTATCGGAAATGCATAAACGTTTGGTACATTGTCTATAATAATTCTTCTAAAATTTGTCTTTAATGCAAGATGTTAATGTTATTATTTTGTTTAATCGGAAACAGAAAGAGAAACAGAAGTCTCCATCATAGAGTTCGAATTCTGCGGAAGGAAAAATTCACTCGACTTTAATAGAACTTATTTTTCTTAACGCAAAAACAACTTTCACTTCTATGCAAATCTTTTGCGAACATAGACTCAATCGCTTTTATTTCCCCAGGAAATCATTCACAGCGAGAGGAATGGAGGAAAATATCTAATATTCATTGTAATTTATTTATGAGAATATTTTGAAAAATATTATTGTAATAGTGAAGGGGTCAGACAATTTAATTACTGGATTTATATGGTGATGAATTTCAAATGTCCATATTCCCTATGTTATTAAATTCCTAAATTTCGAAATTCATCAGATCCCAAGTTCTCCAAATTCCAAATTCCAAATTCCAAATTCCCCAGATTCCAAGTCCACTAATTCCAAATTCTCCAGATCCCAAATTCCCCAATTCCAAAATTCCCCAATTCCAGATTCCCCAATTCCAAATTCCCCAAATTTAAATTTCCCCAAATTCTAAATTTCCCAGATCCCACGTCTCCCAATTCCAAATTCCCCAGATCTCCAAATTCCCCAATTCCAAATTCCCCAATTC